AACCGAAATACCCTGACTAACGGAGCTGTAACCTGTGATACTTTAGAGAATGTTTTGGAGAAAACAGGAATCAATGAAAAATATCATGATAATGATAAAAAGAAAATCATCATCTTGGCGGATCAGCAAGGTAGAGATCTTAGGCAAGGAGTGCAAAAGTTAACCGGTGATGATTTCAAGGTTTACTGCTATATGAAACCAGGTGCCACACTAGCCGAGGTATTGAATATATGGAATCCCAAATCAATAAATCTGACGGAAAGGGACACTATTGTTGTACTCGGAGGAATAAACGACAAAAATCCGGAGCTTCTACAAGTTAAACTTAATATGTGGTTGAGTGGCGTACATCACGCTAAGGTTATCATTTGTGAGGTTCCCCATAATTCTTATTTAAATGTACAAAAGCTAAATTATGTGTTCAGATTTATTTCAAGTAGACATGAGAATGTTTTGTATCTAAATATGAATTATAATGAATTTTCTTCGAGATTATATCTTACTCGTTCATTGTTAAAGGAGATATTACACTTGGATTATGTTTTTAAGTTTAAACAGTATACATTATTAAAGCAAGAAGAGGAACTGAAAAAGTTTAAAAGTACTTATACACAAACTGATACGTCATTCATATTAAATAAAGATCAGATAGATAACAGATTAAATAATAGTAATGTAGATATAACAACTTATACGGATCTATCCCCTAAAAACTGCAATTCCTTTTTTCGCCCATAATAATCACTTAAATATAACGCATAAAACCAATAATATTAATATTTTTTATCAAAATGTATGTGGTGTTAGTAATAAGAAAAATGAGTTGGAGTTGTATATCCATTCAAAGAGGGTACATTTGAACTTTGTTTGTTTTTGTGAACATTTTTTAAATGAATCTTCTGCCCCTACTTTTTATCTGGAAGGCTATAAGACAGTAGCTTATAATTTCCGAATGAGTAAAAGGCGTGGAGGATCTATAATATTAGGACAAAACGATGTAAATTGTGAAGAAATTGCTTTCTGTAAGAAATTGTACAAATCTGAGTGTTTTGAGATATGTGGTCTAAAAGATAAAGAGTCGAATATTAATGTTTGTTGTTGCTATCGAAATCCAGTAAAAAATAATTTTGATGTATTTTTAGAAAGTTTAGAAAAGTTTTTGGAACATTTTTTCAATAAGAATTGTGTTTTGTGTGGGGATTTCAACATTAATCTATTAAGGGAAGATAGACAAAAAAATGATTTTTTAAAACTTTTGACATGTTATAATTTTAAATGCTTAATTGATACTGCGACATATAAACGCAATGACACGCAATCTTGCATTGATAATATTTTGACCAATATGCACGATACCGAAATAATGACTGAGATAGATCACAATGGACTTGCGGATGGACATGCGGGTTTATACTGTACCTTAAATGTGGACAATCAGGGATTTAATAATAAGAACAAGAGTATTAAGATTATGCGTAGAGTTTACAATGAACAAAATTCGAAAGAGTTTGAAAAACAGATGCTATAAATAACTTAGTTGATGATATTGTATGTAAGTTAAATGAAAAGCTGAAAGTGTGTGGTCTGTTTTTGGATTTAAGCTCAGCTTTTAATACAATAAATCATGACATATTGCTTCAGAAATTGGAACATTATGGAATTCGAGGTACAAATTTAAAACTTTTTCAATCTTATTTGTCAGGTCGCAAGCAGTTTATTGAAATTAAAAAAATAATAAATGATGTCGAGACAATATGTAAATCAGAATTAAAAATATTAAAAAGAGGTGTCCCACAGGGCTCAAATTTAGGACCTATTTTCTTTATAGTTTTTTTGAATGACCTAGTTAATTATATGGCTTTAAAACAACCGGATGTTAAATTAACCATTTATGCCGATGACACAAATGCAATAATATCTGCCAAAGATATTGACGAGCTGAGCATTAAAGTAAATAGTACACTATTTCATTTTGAAAACTGGTTTGCAGGCAATGGTCTTTTATTGAATGCAAAAAAAACAACAGCCATGCTATTCAGGTCTACTGCCAGAAACACAGATATTTTAAGAATAAATGTGAATGGTACAGATATAGACTCCGTAAAATCGCTAAAATTCTTAGGAATCCACATTGACGTAGATTTAAATTGGACAAATGAAATTGAATCACTCAAATCTAGTATAAGCTCAGCGTGCTATGCCATAAGAAGTTTAAGGGATGAAATCACCTTGAAGCAGCCTAAATTAGTTTATTTTGCTCTGGTTGAATCAAAACTTCGTTACAGTATTATGTTCTGGGGCAATAGTTACAAATATAATATTTTGGCAGCATTCGTCTTACAAAGGCGTGCGATCCGGACTATGATGCGTATCCCACAGACAGATTCGTGCACATTTTGAAACATTAGGTATTATGACAGTCCCTTGCTTATATATTTTAGTTGTTTTATCCCATTTAGTAAAAAACCTGCACAAATACGAATCTGATATAGACAGAAAAAAGAGGGAACTAACTCGTCGAAAAGATTTGAAAAGTGCCTTCAGACCTAAGCTTAACGTTGTCAGTCACTGCGTGAGATTCCAAGCTATCAAGCTATTTAATGTTCTCCCTATAGAATTGAAAACCGTTTACAGTCCATATAAATTCCAAGACAAACTTAAAATGTTCTTGCTGAAGAAGTGTTACTATTCCATAGAAGAATATTTAGATGACAGAAATTTAAATCTAATATGAAAAATCTTTGACATGTTTAAATTATAATCGATTTATTTCAAATTGTATGCTGACATTTTAATAATATTTAATTTTATTAATATTGCATGAAATAGTAATTTAATTGTAAATTATTTGTGATTTCCAATACGATGAAAATTGTTTAAGGAATAAATGACTATGACTATGAAAGCTCCTCTTTCAAAAAGGTCGCCAGATGTTCCGTCGGCACTCTCACCACAAATGAATTAAAATTCACGTCGTGGCGAAACTCCAAACGTGCGACCCTCAGAGAGAAATTGGTCTTCGTACGCAAGTATTCTGCGATCCCCTCCGCCTTCGTGGTGTAATGCAAGCGGGATACATACAGTAGCATCACAGGTATCGCTGGACGCAGCAGGTTATTCGGTCCGATCGGGGCGACACCGCACAAATTGCGACGAATGGGCTTCCTCTTCTTCCTCTCCACCGTGATGAAACCCTCTTCGTCACAATTACGGTTACGTCTTTCCGTCGGAGTTGCACAAGGGATGTCTTGGCTACCCTTCTTCTTTGGATGAGTGGAATTCCGCTCAGGTTGCGTGACAGCGACGGTTCGGCCGGCGGCCGCAGCTGCGTAAACGCGTTTTGGTGTTAACGCGCAGTCGCGTGACGTCTCCGGTGTGGCGGAGGGGCGGGTGACGGGGCTTCGCGCGCGATGAATGCGGCCGGTGACGCACTCGTATGCGCCGACTCTAAACTGCCAACGGATGCAGTATGCGCCCCGCGACGTGTGTTCACGTTGGAGACCTCGGGTGACCTACTTGTCCAAGCGGCGCTACTTAATGACTCCAGTTGGGCTCGCAACTCACCGATGGTGTTGTTGATTCTTCCAACTTGTTCACCACATCGGCCAGATTTGCTTTTAGGAAGTTGATGTCCTTGAGCAACCTGGTGACATCGACGTGGTCGAACGTGACGGGAGGGAGCTTGTGTAGCTCCTTCGCTACGAATGTAGGCACGGCATCTGGATCCAATTCTTTTAGCAGGGTGACGATGTCCTGCAGACTCTTCTCCGTTCCATCTCTCCGGCAAGATGGCATCTGATCGGCCTTACCGACGGACCGGTACAGTAACGCCTTGCCACTGCAAACCTCCTCTTCTTTGAAATTCGATTTGCAGATCTGCAGGATGCTAATATAGTCCATTGTATCTATGGCGTTTTGAATGAACGCCAACAACTCGTTAGCTATGAGTTGTTGGGAACTCATTGCTACCGAAGCGCAGGACGGCTGTTGCCGTGTGACGCGAATAATAAATTCTCACAGCACAGTGGCGCACGGCCGTTTCCAAGCGCACATCGCACTGCACTACCCTTATAACATAGCGCCTCGCTTTACTGGTTATATGTTTGTGTTGTCCTGAATGTGACGTAAAAGTGCTTATAAAATCATTACTTGATATTGGCGGAGCTGTGATAAGTCACAACGCAAGCCACCATAAAAAGAAGAAGAATTTTATGCAAACATACTGTATTTAAAAGAAAAATATGACTCTGTTGCTTGTTTAACTGGATTTTATACGATTGTGCCTTGCTTGGTAGACTGTACATAGCAGATAACATGTGGCATATTCTTTTTCAGTCTTACTTTTTTCTACTGCTCCATTTTTATTTATTTAAACGGAATGAAATGTATTGCCTATGTAACTCACGATTAGAGAACTGTCTACTTATGAAAGAATTTCCACAATCCGTCTAATAGTTGAAGTTTTTTTGTTTTTAGGAAGTTCCTATATATAAAATTCTCGTGTCACGGTGTGCGTAATTGAACTACTCCGAAACGGCTCGACCGATTTACGTGAAATTTTATATGCATATTCAGTAGGTCTGAGAATTGGACAACATCTATTTTTCATCCCCCTAAATGTTAGAGTGGTCCACCCTTTTTGTTTTGCAAAAATTCTTGTTTTTATTTTTTTATAATACACATCATACGAAAATACATACAACCCTAAATTTTCACCTTTCTACCACCAACCCCTATTTTTTTTATAGCGGTACGAAGTTCGCTGGGACAGCTAGTGTTAGTATAAGATTTATAAAGTTTGTACACTTTTTTAAATACTTTTATTATCTTTAGAAATATGTCAGACCTATCCATACTGTAAACAAGCTTAAATGTCCTTTCAACAAAGCAATTAAGCATTCAAGATACTTTCAGGAAGAAAATGTCATACAAATCTTGCCTATAATAAATATGCCTGGCGTGTCTGGTATAAGTTATAATGTTTGAGTTGTCCGATACAGTTTTACAAGCGGCACGACCCGAGCGGCGCGGAGGAGCAGGAGGCGATGGAGAACATGTTCGATTCATTATGCTGCGCGCTGATGGAGCCCGCCAACCGGGACCGCTTCCTGCGCGGCGAGGGGCTGCAGCTCATGAACCTGATGCTGAGGTTAGTTTGTCTCATTGAGCTGCACGCTGATGGAGCCCGCCAACCGGGACCGCCTCCTGCGCGGCGAGGGGCTGCAGTTCATGAACCTGATTCTGAGGTTAGTTGGTCTCATTGAGTTGCACGCTGATGGAGCCTACAACCGGGACCGCTTCCTGCGCCGCGAGGGGCTGCAGCTCATGAACCTGATGCTGAGGTTAGTTGGTCTCATTGAGCTGCACGCTGATGGAGCCCGCCAACCGGGACCGCCTCCTGCGCGGCGAGGGGCTGCAGCTCATGAACCTGATGCTGAGGTTAGTTGGTCTCATTGAGCTGCACGCTGATGGAGCCCGCCAACCGGGACCGCCTCCTGCGCGGCGAGGGGCTGCAGCTCATGAACCTGATGCTGAGGTTAGTTGGACTCATTGAGTTGCACGCTGATGGAGCCTACAACCGGGACCGCTTCCTGCGCCGCAAGGGGCTGCAGCTCATGAACCTGATGCTGAGGTTAGTTGGTCTCATTGAGCTGCACGCTGATGGAGCCTACAACCGGGACCGCTTCCTGCGCGGCGAGGGGCTGCAGCTCATGAACCTGATGCTGAGGTTAGTTGGTCTCATTGAGCTGCACGCTGATGGAGCCCACCAACCGGGACCGCCTCCTGCGCGGCGAGGGGCTGCAGCTCAGGAACCTGATGCTCAGGTTAGTTGGTCTCATTGAGCTGCACGCTGATGGAGCCCGCCAACCGGGACCGCCTCCTGCGCGGCGAGGGGCTGCAGCTCATGAACCTGATGCTGAGGTTAGTTGGTCTCATTGAGCTGCACGCTGATGGAGCCTACAGCCGGGTCCGGTTCCTGCGCGGCGAGGGGCTGCAGCTCATGAACCTGATGCTGAGGTTAGTTGGTCTCGTTGAGCTGCACGCTGATGGAGCTCGCCAACCGGGATCGCTTCCTGCGCGGCGAGGGGCTGCAGCTCATGAACCTGATGCTGAGGTTAATTGGTCTCATTGAGCTGCACGCTGATGGAGCCTTCAAACAGGACCGCTTTCTGCGCAGCGTGGGGCTGCAGCTCATGCACCTTATGCTGTAGTTAGTTTTACTCGTTGTGCTGCGCGCTGATGGATCCCGCCAACCGGGACCGCTTCCTGCACGGCGTGGGGCTTGAACCTGATGCTGAGGTCACTAACATTTTTATTATTTTTCTTTTTATTTCAAAAGGCTGTCATAATGACTGCTCTGAGGGGCAAGCACGAACAACTCGTAGTAAGTATTCGTATCGCAATCGTGCCTATTCTATGCAACATGGCAGCGTACGAACTGCACGTAAGAACAAACTAAACTAGGAAGCAAGAACCCAAAGTAAATCGTACCGAGACGCTAATGTTCCTTGTCCCTATTTCTATGAGAATTACGAGCACGAACATTTTTTGACGTATAGTTGTTACATATGTGGGTATTTCAGGGCTGCGTCCCGCAACGTTCATTGGAATAAAAGTAGTACGCAATAAGCTGTCTTTTGATTCGCACGCTCATATGTAACAGTGGCGACGAGAGTACTTACCTGCGCACGACAAAATGGCGGCCACATACTTTGGAGTTTTGTCGACTTTCGACCACAATTGCCAGGATTGGGTATCATTTAAACATCGTTTAGACCAATGGTTTATAGCAAATAGCATTGTGAAAGATGACAAAGCAGGTATCAAGCAGCGAGCGAGCGAAAAAAGTGTAGTATCATTGAATGATTTTAAATATTTTAAGTTTAAAAAGCAGATGTAATAAGAAACTTGCTAAGTAATTATTTAAAAATAATATTGCAATTAGTCATTTAAAACAATCAAATAAATGCTTACCAGTGGACTGTTTCAACGTGCAGTCAGGACGCGTGGTTTCACCTTGGAAAGCATTGGTGACACTAAAAAAAAAGGCGACGGCGCGCTTCGTTTGCAACCGAACGAACTTCACAGCAACTGCGTTCCGTTCCACGGTCTTAATGCCCGCACCAATGCATAATAAGATTTCAGAGCATTTTTCAAATTGTAACAGGGGACTGATCGAAAATATTGAGGACAACATTTATCATACCGAATAAAATATTAAATTTCTACTTGAAAATGTAACTGTGCTTTACAAAGATACTTAATGTATTCTAGTATTACTTGAATATTTTATACTTTGGAAACAACAATAAAGAAAATATTTTTTGTCATGAAACTTCTGATTCTGGAAATGGGACACTACAGGGGACTGTGTTTTGAGGTGGTTGAAGTGCATTTATTATAATATTACAATATTATATTACTAAATAAGCTAAAGCGTACTAAGAATAGCTAATACGCTATCGTTTTTAATATATAGAACTCAGTAATATAAACATCTTTTAAGAAAATATTTTTTGTCATGAAACTTCTGATTCTGGAAATGGGACACTACAGGGGACTGTGTTTTGAGGTGGTTGAAGTGCATTTATTATAATATTACAATATTATATTACTAAATAAGCTAAAGCGTACTAAGAATAGCTAATACGCTATCGTTTTTAATATATAGAACTCAGTAATATAAACATCTTTTAAGGTTTCTATGAATCTCTATGAAATGGATTCCGAGCGTGGCGACATGCCGCGGCTGCACAATGCATATAATGCACGGTCAGCCACAGTGTCGCTTGCAGCCCATTGCGGAATTGTACCTTTAGAAGGAATTAGACACGGCTATTAAAATCGTGGTAGCATAATTAGTCAGTGCATCCGCCCAGATAGCGGAGGGTGTGGGATCGAGTACTGTCTACTGCCTGGGCCGCGTGGAGTTTTTTATAATAAAATATTCTTTTCACTTAAACTATACATAGTTTATTATCTTGTAGAGAGAAGAAAATGTCTCGGAACGGCTCTTTGAAGGTTCTCGACCACGCTCTGGTCGGACCCGACGGCAAAGACAACTGCAACAAGTTCGTAGACATTCTGGGGCTAAGAACAGTATTCCCGCTCTTCATGAAAACGCCGAAGAGGAAGAGATTATTGACTGTGGATCAACACGAAGGTACTATTATACTTATTTCGTTTTTTTGTAACTGAAATTGACGCTCCTTGCCTACGGGCCAATAGTATTACACTAAAAAGCTTGCGCAGAAGAGGGACTTTTGTCCGTGGATTTTTTTGTTCCGCCAAAATAGATCACTTACAACTGCATCGAGCAACGCAACGACGTATTAAATGTACCGCATAAAAAATTCTTCCGACCAACCGAGGACATCGTGAGACCGGATAGGACAAAAGTTCTCGGGAGTCTCCGAAAACAATAACTCATGTGACTAGGTGCAGATACGCACACAGTGAATCCGCGTTGCGCACTCGATCCGATTTAAAGAGATGGATCCAGTATTCTCTTTTAAAACGTTTGCTCTTTTTCTTAAACTTGATGTTAATTAATATATAATAATAAATATAATGACGCCTTTCGCATCCTGCTCAAAAAACCGCGATATTGTAGTGCCAAGGAAATGTTTGCTGAAGCAAATGTTCCCGATTTTTTCTGTATCCCCATTCGCGGTCCGCTTCGTTCTGGGAGAGGCTCCGTGAAAGTGGGAACTCCATTCTCCGCAACATCCACGACGACGTGGACACTGTATTTTTTAAACATTGGAATAAATTACATCGTTTTGGAAATGACAGTCTGAAATAAACATTCAGCAAGTCCTATGTTATTTTTTAGGTAATTTTATAATATACACAGTTTTATTTTTATTTTTTATTATCAATTTTGACAATTTTGTCATATGGGTCTTTTGCCTGAAATAAAGAAATTATTATATTATTACTAGCTGACTCGGCGAACTTCGTACCGCCCAAAAGTAATAATTTGCAATAAATTAAAATTGCGACTATAATTTGAGATTTAAACTATCCTATCTCTCAAGTTGGATCGAACTGCACATTGTGTGCGAATTTTATTATAATCGGTTAAGTGGTTTAGGAGTCCATTGAGGACAAACATTGTGACACGAGATTTGTATATATTAAGATTATTAATTACAACACAACTTGGTCTGAGAATATTTACTTCCATAGCGTGCGTTTCTCTTAATTTTCGAGCAACAAATATTCGCACAATTTATGCGTTGAGTCCGTGATACCGTCCTCGGCGGACAATATTTTACGATTCAGGGCCACCGCGGTCAAAAGTCCCTCATCTGCGCCGGCCATTATGGTTATCTTTCTTTTTTTCTTGTCTTAACATAATCTCAATGACTAAGTATACAAAGTTGAATATGTTTCGAAATAAAAAAAATGATACTTTTTTATGCGCTATAAGTTTGTGATCTTATGACAAAAATAAAAGTTAATCTATAGACGGCCAACCAGGACCCTGCCTCAGCATAAGCTGACATAGTGAGTAAAGAAAAAAACCTCTCACCATGTCGGCGCTGAAATTCTGGTAGGGCCTGAACAGGTCGCTTTAATGGTTCGTAAAACATTCAAAAACAAGTAGTAGTATAATTTCGTCCATTGGGACAGGCGAAGGTACTAAGCCATACTGCCAAGTCTTACTTCCATAATTATAGTTGTCATTATTATATAGGCAAGTCCAAATCTGTTATTTGGTTTTCAGAGGCAATAAGCCAAATCTTCAGTAAATTACCAAATATTTTGTTCTTTGTGGGAGTGGTCATAATCATCATTGTAGTAAAGTCCGAGGTTGTTTTATTATATTTCTCCAAGTGTCGAGTTTATAAATTCGTAAATAGCTAAAACGTTTTCTGGGCTTGCTAAGATGTCCTGTAGCGAAGGTGGGATGATCTGTGATTTGGTCAAAAGTCGATCTATTAGAATTAGTCGCTTAATGTTGAAAGCTGGACAAAAAAAGAAGATATGGTCCAGTGTTTGATCGTCTTGTGATGTGCATTCAGTGAATACTGGTGACGTTATCATCCGCATACGGTGCAAATGCGATCTAAATCTACAATGACGAAATCTTAGCCTATTTATCTGCGTGTGGAATTTCCTTTATCAAATTAATCTGATGCAGCAAACCAGGCTTTTCGGCCCACTTCTTTATTGATACCGGCATACCAGGCTTCTTTTGTTTTTACGATAATATTTCTTTCCTCCGTCCATTCTTTGCACACCTTTTCTCGATACCCCGATCTTGCCAAGGACAAGAAAGATTTTTAATAGTACCACCCAGAGAATGTGTTAATCTGGCAAGGTAATCCACATTTTCGTTTCCGACATGTGCTGGCGTCCATAAAAAATTCACAAGTTTATTGCAGTCAGATAGTTTTTCATTCAAAAATCAAGTTAACACGAAAAACAGAACAATAAAAACCCACATCACCATGGAGTATGTATATAATATATATTAATATGACGATATGACTAAATTATAATTAGTTGTTTACTTATAATTTTATACATAAATATATCTAAGTATATATTGTAAATAAACCAAGTACCGGAAATTAACTATCGTGCCCCCGCCAAGTCGAGCAAAAACAGCGGCACGGCCGTACTATCCTTTTCTCGACACAGTTCAGGCCATTTTCATCCCCCTATAACTTCATTGGCGATAAAACTAGAAGCCTGAATTTTCAGTAATCAGGTAGGCATTGTATAAACACGGTATATTTCAAATTTCATTTGAGCCAGTAGTCTAAGAATTATAACTAGTCAAAGTTTCTAAATAATGTTTTTGATGGCATTTAATTTTCACTGGCATAAGGACTTATCCCTGATTTTTCACACAATCAGTGCACATATGCAGCACACTCAAATAAGCTATAGTCATTGGTCATTCAGTTGATTTAGTCGCCGGCTATACACGAACGTGGCAGCACTCTTCGATCACTCATATCAATACCATAAAAGTGGGGACGGGCGTTCAATTTTAGATTAGAGGATCTTCTACCTCAGCCAACAATAAACTGTACTGCAGTTTGGCGACATTGTTTCTTTAAAACATATTTTTATTTAATAAATTTCAAATGTTCAATACTTGTAAAATTATTCATTTGACATTGTGGGTTACCTACAATGCGAAGAGATGGCGCTGCCTTGCAGCCTAAGGCTAGGAAAAATTCGACACGGCCGTCAGGGCCGCGGTAGCATAATGGTCAGTGTATTCGCCCGGATAGCGAAGGGTGCGGGTTCGAGTCCCGTCTGCTGCCTGGTCCGCGTGGAATTTCTTTTCTAGTAAACTTTTCTTTAGAAATAACAATGAATTCCTAATTCCACTAATTTTAGAGCACGTTGTATCGATAATATCGTCGATGTTGCGCAACTGCCAAGGCAGCCAGCGCCAGAGGTTGCTCGCTAAGTTTACGGAGAACGACCTGGAGAAAGTGGACCGACTCCTCGAGTTACACTTCAAGTATATGGATAAAGTGGACCGAGCCGAAAAGGAGATGGAGGTAATTTCAACCTATTTTGAGTAAATATTTCATCGAATAACCCAGATGGCTTCAGTGAAGTCATCTGAAAAGAATTGTTCATCACAAATTGTCAGCTAGTTTACCTACACTTCTGGACACATCTATTGGCCCACCTTGTATTTTCAGTTTCGTTTGGTCCTAGCTAAAATTTTATATTAGGTCGAGCATAAAGTTTTTATGCAGTTTTGAACCTGGCACATTCACAATTTCATTCAATAGTCTTTTTTTGAATTTCGAACACAGAATTTAAAGAAACAAAAGACAATTTGGAGCCTGTTTGTTGATATCAAACAATCGAATACTAAGAAATCTTGGTTTTATTGGTTTACTTGGATTTAATTCTTGAAAAAATGATTGATATCTTTGGTTTTGCAACAAACATTACTTATTCTTAACATTAAGGTGAGATTCTATCAATAATCTATGGATACTTCACCTGAAGTCGCCGCCCAAGCTGTGGCACTTATTCAGGCCGGACACAGCCAAACAAACGTGAGTGCTCAACTTAATTTAAGTCGATCTGCGGTCCGAAATGTTTATCGGAGGTACCTAGAGACTGGCGGCTTTGTTCGTCGCCAAGGAAGGCCACGATCTCGGGTCACAACTGAAAGGCAGGATCGATTCATCGTGACGACCAGCTTGAGAAATCGTCACCTTACCTCCATTGAGATACAAAAACAAATTCGCGACTTCCACGGAGTACCTGTGAGCGCTCGAACTGTTCGGAGAAGGTTAAAATAACGCGATATGGTACCACACAAGCCAGCTAATGGGCCCAAACTAACACGAGCCCACCGAACAGCGCGCCTTCATTTCGCACGCAGTCATTTAAATTGGACACAGCAAGATTGGAGCCGTGTACTCTTTTCTGATGAGTCTAAAATTGTGTTACATGGCAATGATGGAAGCAAGAAGGTCTACCGACGTAAGGGAGAGCGTTTCGCACAATGCTGCTTTGGAGAGAGGGTTGCTTATGGCGGTGGCTCATGGACTGTCTGGGGCGGTATATCCGCGAGCGGCAAAAGTCAACTTGAGGTTTTTACAGGACCACGGCTGCCAACATTAAATGCTGAAAGGTACATTCGTGAGTGCTTAGAACCTCACGTGATACCATACGCGGACTATGTGGGCCCAAATTTCCTTTTTATGCATGTTAATGCAAGAGCCCATGCGGCCGGCATCGTCAGGGAATATCTTCGGGATGTGAACATCACAGTTATGGACTCGCCAGCCAGAAGCCCAGACATGAACCCCATTGAGCACATGTGGAACGAGCTTAAAAGACGTGTTAGGGCTCGTCGGCCAGTTGCCCAGACGATGCAGGAGTTGAAAACTGCCATAAAAGAGGAATGGGAGATGATCCCTCAAAATTTCATAGAGCGGTTGTTAAACTCTATGCCTAATCGTATGAGAGCTGTGGTAGATGCCCATGGAGGCAACACGCGTTATTAAATTAAACCTTTATTTGATAAAAAATGTTTTTTATTCAAAAATCAATTGCATTTAACAAGGCGCATATCCGACTTGTTAGGCGTAGCTCCACGTCGTATGGTATTCTGAATTCAAATTTAAAACAATACGATCGAAAAAGATGGTAAAATGTATCAGGTTTAAAACTGCATCAACAGTTTTTGTTCAATCTAGCAATCATATTTCGGTAGGGGCCATCGAAACCTAAACTCTAAGGTGGGCCAATAGATGTGTCCAGAAGTGTATTATTATGACCAGAATTAAATTTCCAGACCAGAAACTAAATAATCAAGTCATTTTCAAACAAGACCAGAATTTATTAAAACTCTACCCTTATCTGGAATTGCTATTCTTTTTTTTTATAGATAAGTCCGACAAATGACTCCACCCCACCTGATGTTAAGTGAAGGTGAAGTCCAGACGAGAAGATAGCTGATACAGCAGTTCTACCTGCCATACCAGCTATCCTCACTCTGCCGGCCTGCATGTTGCTTCTTCACGCCTCTTTTAAAGGATCCCAGGTTGTAAGATGGAGGAAACACGTGGGCGGGTAGAGCATTCCATTTACGGATAGTGCGACAAAGAAATGAGTCGCCAAATTTCTTTGTACGCGTTGGAATTGTGGCCACAGTTAGACGGTGACAACGTAGGCCAGCTCGCGTGGTCCTCTGAAGGAAAGGGGAAGGTGGAATAAGAGAGAATAACTCCTCAGAACACTCGCCGTGGTACAGACGATAGAACGCGCTTATTGACGCCACATCACGGCGTAATTGAAGAGGCTCGAGGTGTTTATTCACCTCCTCAGCGCCTATGATGCGGATCGCGCGCCGCTGTAACCTATCCAAAGCATCGAGCAAGTACTTGGCGGAGCCATCCCAGAGGTGCGAGCAATATTCCACGAAAGACCGCACCTGCCTTGTATAAGACAACAAGCACAGTTGTTCGAGCGTGAAAAAACGCCGCACCTTGTTTAGGACTCCGAGCTTGCGTAAGGCTGTTTTTATCACGCTTTCGATGTTATTCTTTGGATTTTAGTCATAGCGAATCTCCATACCGATCATGGTGATACTGCTCTCTAGCTCCAGTGTTGTGCCCTGAAGAGAAGGATATGAAATGAATGTGGATGTTTTTGCCGTGAAAGCGCAGACCTGGGATTTCTTAGCATTGAACTCAACCAAATTCTTGCTACCACATTCAGAAATGTGGTCCACAGCCTGATTGAGTTCAATGACAAGATTCTCCGGTTTCTCCTTGTTTACCATCTGCCCAGTCGCTGCTTGTCCGTAATACCCCGCATGCACTGTACTATCGTCTGCATAGCAATGAATATTCCCAAGAGGAATTAAGTCATTGATGTGCAGCAGAAAAAGAGTGGGGGATAGGATGGAGCCCTGGGGAACGCTGGCATTCACTGACATGAACCGCGAACTGCTACCATCCGTAAGGACATGAATTCTTCGCTCATGCAGGAAGTCAGATACCCAAGAACAGAACTGGGCCGGCAGACCGTATGCCGGAAGCTTGGAGAGAAGGCTTTTGTGCCAGACCCTGTCGAACGCCATGGCAATGTCAAGGCTGATAGCCAACGACTCGCCACGGTTGTCGATAGCCTCACCCCAGATTTGAGTCAAGTTCGCTAGAAGATCGTTTCGGTCTAAAACCATATTGACGATCATTAATCAGGGAGTGATCCTCTATCAGTGACACGGACCTATCAGCCAGCGCTGAAACAGCGCTGCTTCCAAGGGATGGGCGCAAAATAGTCACGCATACCGTCCCAATCTGCCGACCCATAGTGCCAGATCCGGCGTTTTACCACTGTTGGATGCGGAGGCTTGGCCTGTGGAGCTTTGGCAGATATCAGGCAGTGATCCGAAGAGCCCAGGGGGGCTCCTACAACAACCTGATAGCCCTGCGGATGGGTCGTGAGCAGAAGGTCCAGTAATGAAGGCGCTTGACTTGAAATATCTGGAATCCTGGTGGGCTGATCGACCAGTTGCTTCAAGTCATTCGTGAGAGCGAATGCGTGAGCAGAGATCCCTGCATAGTCAGTTTTCTAGGAACTTAACCACAAATTGTGGTGAGCATTAAAGTTCCCCAAAAACACCAATTCTGCATTGGGAAATTGCTCCTGCGCGTCATCTGCTGCCCGACTGAGATGTTCGAAAAGTCGAATTGACTCAACATCGCCAGTATGGGATCTGTAGAGGCACACGTAGACTCTGGCCTGGGGACCAGAGTCGACGTGTATCCCTAACATGGAGACGGCGTCAACAAACGTCCGCCCGAACATACAGGCATACATCGGCTTTCGCTTTGAAGGACTCTGCAAGCTCTTCTTCTGATTCTGCAGTGCTATTTTGTAAAAACAAACTCACTTTTTACAGCGGAATCCGCGGTGAAAAGTGAGTTTGTTCTTACAGAATAGTACTGCTGGTAACCGTATTGTGTTATATTATGAAAAAAAGAACAATAACATTAACTTTTTTCCTATTCAGTTTAGTAATCGTAATTGTAACGGTTTCTTTCACTGATAGTATGGTCCAGTTGTGAAGATAACTGAAACTTAATGCAGTTTTTTATATTGTTGCAGCAAGAACAGGAGGAACTAGATGATGATGCCCAATACCTTAGACGGTTATCTGGTGGATTGTTCACATTGCAACTCATCGATAGAATTATTCTTGAGGTATTACAAATTAACTTAATTTTTGTGACTATAGAGAATTTATTTAGTTTCTATACATTGTTATTGGGTTTTTGCAGGTTTGTATCGCTGGACCTCCGACTATAAAACAGCGCGTCCAGCGAGTGTTGTCTCTCCGTGGCGGTTCCCTCAAGATTATACGGCATGTTATGAGAGGTAAAGTTTATCACGCAAATTTCTTAGATTAAATTGCATTTCCTTATATTTTGACCTCATAAAGCAACAAGCGTGGTGAAAAATGGGGAAGATAACGGACAATTCTCTCCGCCAGAGGTGCTAATGTCGTCAGTCCATTCACGACATCTCGACTTTATTGATGACGGCCAGGATCTACCCGTGGAGTTATTGCAATCGCGATAGTATTAGTGTAGTATATACACATATATACTATATAAGACAGATACGTTATGTTGATAAATTACATTAATATAAGAGAATTCACGCAGTCGCCTTCGTAATAGAAGGCGAAGGGGAAGGATAATTTAGAATATAAAATTATAAATCAGATTTGAACACAGAGATTGAAAATTTGGTCGGTTTGAGAATAAGTCGTAGGCTATTTGTTTATATTGTCAAACTTACGATTACTTTGATGCTGCGCCAGCACCCAAAGGTTACCAGGTCTTGGTAATACCGCCTAAGTAAAGTGCACCAAATTCAAAATTTATAGTAACTGTGAAATTAGTAAGACCCTTTTTTCAAATAGGAAATTAGCCGATGATCTTCAAACTCATTAACGATTAAGTCAGCTTTTTCAATTCCTTATGGAGCTACGATGTCACAGACACGTCAAACTTATATCACCCCTCTTTTTTTCGTTGGGTGCTAAAAATGTATAAAAATTGACCATAAGGGTCCTTTTCTACGAAACTAATGCGTATAAATAAATAAAAAATGGAATGTAGACTTTTACTTGTAGATTATAGCAAAACCTATAAGAACTTTATATTAATTAAAATAAATATTTGAGGGGCTTCCATACAAGAGACGTGATTTTTTGCCGTTTTACTCGATATCATAATATACTGTCTGCTGTTGTATGTTCCCTTCGTGCGCGAGACAGATTCGCACTTGGCCGGTTTCTGAATGGGTTACTACTTGACGAGTTATGCTACGTTCACACGGAGACATCAATTTTTAAACCGGATCTGATTTTTGCAGGATACATTTAGTCCCAAATAAACGATTTATGAATAAATGTTAACATTTATTCATTTTAACATTATTAATTTTCAGTAGGTTATTTCTTGAAAAGAAGTTGCGTATGTTTCTACGCCGTAATAAAGGAAGAATATCAAGAAGTGGTTAAATCTAGAACAGGTCATACTCGAAAAAGATTAATAACGGGCTCTTGAACTTTTTTAGTATCAACTGACGACCACATATAATAAGGAGAAATTTTTAGTGTAATTTTGCTGTAACGTGTTACACAAAATTTAAGATAAGCGCTTTGCTCCAATTTTCTTATCCGATTACATTTTGTCGGTAGCCCGAATACGAGTGAGACCTTTTATGCCTGTGCCATTAAAATCCACATGCTATGTAGTCAAAACTGTGAACATATAATTGCGACGTGTGTACCAGCACAACAAAACAAAAAATAATCAAAACTTCAATGTGCGTAGCCCGCGAAATCTTAAAACAAGGCTATGGTTTTCCAAAAAAATGTGTAATAATAAACTTGTGCCAACACTTTTTCCAAGCACTTCTGATAATCACAGCCCGTAGTTCTTTCAGCGATGCAGTTTTATCTCCTCAATCGTTGTCGTTTCATGGGTCTCTTCAGTTTTGGTGTATTAGTTTATTTATATTAGGTTTCATGGTGGCGTTATCTTAAACCGGTGATATAAAGCACGGCATCGTTATTAAGTTCTTAAAACGACTATACCTATCTTGCCATTTTTTTTCTATTGCACAAGTCAATAATTATTATTAATGTATGTAATGGGCTAGAAATATTTTAAATTTGTACCTATGTATATTAATTTGTATTTATATTTTTGCAGAGTATGCGGGCAACTTGGGCGACGCTGGCAGTGAAGAGTGGCGCCAGCAGGAACAGCAACACATACTACAGCTGGTCGACAAGTTTTAGCTATATTAGCATGTCCGTCTTATTATATGTTGCATAGGTTCAATGTATATGTGTGGAAGATAATGAATGATTAAAGTGTCGTTGCGTGTTTTTTGGTTTTTCTTCAACTACTATACAGACAGCTGCATCGTTACTGTAGTATATTTAATGCTAGCACTTCCCATAACATTCATTGTATCCATACTAATATTATAAATGCGAAAGTGTGTGTCTATTATCTCTTCATGCTTAAACCGCTGAACCGATTGAGAAGAAATTAGGTATAGAGATAGTTGGAGTCCCAGGAAAGGATTTTTTTTATCCCTGAAATCATTATTTAAAGGTGTGAAAAGCATGTCGGAAGTTTGTGTAGGAGACCAATTAAACCACATGAAGTCGCGGGCACTCACTAGTTTGCTATATCAGGAAAATATATGACGCATACCCCGCCGCCGGCCTCTGGCGAAAAGAACCTTCGGAAACTTGCTCTTCATTGGCTCTCCGTCACCTTCCGAGAGACTTAATCTTCGCAGAAGCCCACTACCGCGTGCCATGATGTCGCCGTCCAGCATAGCACGAACTCCGCAGGGCAGCGAAAGACCTTACCCGAGTGCGACGCTGCTGCGATCATGCCGGGCACTCCTCAAGGGTAAACCGTTCTATTTATACATTAGCGCCGCACTCGTGGCACGACCACTGATATACGGGTGAGGCCGCGAATTTTGGCATTAGTGACGCAAAATATTGTGCAACCGTGACGTAACAAAATAGTCGTGCCAAATTATAAAGGTTGGAGTATTGGTATACCAAGCCTGACAAAAATAACATTCTAACTTAGGCATTTTTTTAAGTAGGTACTTAAAGGTAGGTATAGATTGTGTGTATAATGTGAAAAATTAAAGGCAATAATTTCACAACTGGTCTCGCAATATGACGCAAATGTAAAAATACGCAAAAGTATACAAGCGTTACCTCACAATTTACATTATTTATTCTACTTATAAATAAAAGCACTATAAGATTTTCCCGCGTTTTCAAGAATCATGCGCAGTTAAAATCCTTGCAAAAAGCTAAAGCTTTTCTTAAAAAATGCGAAAAAACTTGCCCACGAAAACAGTGACCACTTCAACACAAGTTTGACATTAAATTTCCTTCAATATGGCTCCTATCCGTTAGCTTTCATAGAAAAGACGCATTGCCGTTGCCATTATAGTCCAGTCAATGAAAGCTTAACTTTGCCATTTTGAGTTGATCACCTGCAATCAACGCGAAAATTTCCGTAAGGGTTCGTAGATTAATATACTAAAATTGCAGGGTGCTGCATTGACGGCAAGGATATTTTCGCGTATCTCCCATAGTTTTTGCACAAAATGCAATTAAAGGTGCAAAATAGAAAAATGAAATATATTGTTAATCGTTTTTTTTCCATTTTAAAACCATCCTACGGGTCTAATTCAACAATCACCACTTACTGATATATTTAATGATAAGTTTTCGGGAGTCAATTGAAATGAAAAGTGTCTACCGAAATGGTAAAAAATGACTACCGAAATGGTACAGCCAAGAACATCGCCTTTGTAATAGAAGGGTTCCCTACTTTGAATCTAAATAAATTTCCTTATTCTTTGTAAATATTTTTGTTCATTATTTTATAATAAGAATTATTAATTAAAAAGTAATTAATTGTTACTCCTATTAATTATTATTACTAATTATAATAATTAATAGATACATTTTCAAAATAACGAACAAAACGCGTTTATAAAGCGAGAAGTTTATTAGTTAGTAAATCGTCCCCTTAGTGCCAAAACCGATTATCTGCACTTTTCCCCTACTGAACTTTTATTATACCAATCGACCCGTCTCATGAAGCCGCATCTACAGGTAAAACCCATTATGTTCTACGACGCATACTTCCTGAAATAGCTAATGAATAAACAGAATAACTGCAAATTATTTACAAAATTCTTGATTTAAAACCTAATAAACTTATTCAAAACCCTTAACTTTGTAAACGTATTACCGCTGAAACCAAGTTTCGGATTTAAACTCATTTTTCATGTTCACACTTAGAGTAAATATCCTGTGAGATTATTCCGCTAAAATTAGGTATCCCACGGTAATCGAATTTGACCAGATATTTTAATTTTACTAGATGAAGTAAAAACCAACAAATCTAAGTCGTTTTTTGGAAAAAATATATATATTATATTTGCGTTATATTCGAGGCCAGTAAAAGAAGATACCGAATTTCAATTTGTTTTTACTGAATAACTTTTATTTGACGCTTTATAAATTACTTCAGCTAAAATCGATGATCGGTGCTTACTCTTTTCTTCCACTGTAATTTATTAGCGTTAGTCATCGTTACTTTAAAATTTATGCTTCAGCTAAAACCAGCTATCCATGTTTAACCGTCTCTTCCGTACACAGATCGCGCGCTAGCGAGTGAGTTGCTCACTTTTATTCATACATTGTTGAATCGCGCACTGGGCAACACTTTTATTTAATTATTCACTAATAAACATTACTGGCTGAACTATTCTGCGTATTTGTATTAATACGAAGTGGCATTTTATCTTCACGGTGACCTGTCCTAAACCCAATTCCTCTTGTGAAATTACTTTCTGTAGTTACATAATTTTTTTGGATTGAAATTAACTTTTATATAAATAATATTTAATATAGCCTTTCAACAAAATCTACTATTGTTTGTTTACTTTCTTTCTTATACATATAACAAGCACTCAACTTTTGTCCTGGAAAATGTTATCATTTCCATGGATAGTAACTTTTTGTGATTTCGTCTACATTGCGTTGTTGTGCCCCGCTTGTCAGTGCTCACTTCGAACCAGTCCGCCTTAGCTGGAGCACACGCACGCGCAACAACGTCATTGTGGATTCCCGCCAAATAGTATGTATATCATTTCAGTGATATGGGAACAATTGATTCGGTGGACTGTAATGTCGATAAGAGTCCAATGAATGAAAGTATCGCCGAAATGATACATCCATAAGTTTTTGGAGATCCTTGAGTCAATATTTGTGATGTACATTTACCTATATACTGTAGGTTCGATATTTCGGGTGCAGTAGTATTTCTATCTAAAATATCTAGTTTAAATGTATATTAAAGTTAAAGCGGACGAAGTCGTTGGCGGCCGATAGTATTTCTATATAAAAAGTGTAAAAAAATCAGTATTATTCATCTGCACTTGACTCGCTTGCACATGATGAGTCATCAGAAATGGTTTCTGAAGGAAAACTATCAGATTGGCTTGTTTCTGTAGCCAAAGATCTGTATAATCCATGGTACTCCTCAGGTATGATACCTTTGTTGCACAAATCATCGAGATCTGTTTTCTTTGCTATAGATCTTTTTTTTTATAAATAGGTTCGACAAATGACTCCACTAGAGGTTAAGTGACGGAAGAGTCTAGACGCGAAGATAGCTGGTACAGCAGTTTTACTTGCCACACCAGCTATCCTCACTTTGCCGGTCTGCAGAATTGCTACTTCACACACGTAAGCGGGCAAAGTAATCCATTTGCGGATAGTCTGACAAAGAAATGAGTTACCAAATTTCTTTGTTTACGTTGGAATAGTGGGAATAGTAGTTCACAGTAAGTCGGTGAAATCGTAAGCCAGCGCGTATAGACTTCTCTAGGAAAGGGGAAGGTAGGTTAAGGGACAATACCTCCTCAGAACATGCGCCATGGTATAGGCGGTAAAACGCGCTTAATAACGCCACATCACGGCGTAATTGAAGAGGTTCGAGGTGTTTAGTCACCTCCTTATCGCCAATAATGCGGATCACGCGCCGCTGTAACCTATCCAAAGCATCAAAAAAGTACTTGGCGGAGGCATCCTCTGGGGTGCGAACAATATTCCACGCAAGACCGTACTTGCGTCTTGTACAACAAGCACGGTTGCTCGGGCGTGAAAAACTGTTAGTTTTACCGTGAAAGCGCAGACCTGGGCTTTCTTGGCATTGAACTCAATCAAGTTCTTGGTACCGCATTCGGAAATGTGGTCCAAATCTTGATTGAGTTCAATGACAAGATTCTCCCGTTTCTCCTTGGTTTCTACCTGTCCAGCCGCTGCGTATCCGCAAGCGCTGTATTATCGTCTGCATAGCAATGAATATTCTCAAGAGGAATTAAATCATTGATATGCAGCAAAAATAGTGTAGGACGGAGCCCTGAGGAACACCGGCATTCACTGACATGAACTGCGAACTACATCCGTCGCCGTACGTCGACGATCATGCAGGAAGTTAGCCACCCAGGCACAGAACTGAGTATGCATTTCGTATCCAGGAAGCTTGGAGAGAAGACTTATGTGCCAGACCCTATCAAAGCCTTGGCGATGTTAAGGCTGGTAGCCAAAGACTCACCTCGCTTATCGATAGCCTCACCCCAGATATATGTCACGTACGCTAGAAGATCACCTGGCGATCGATTCGGTCTAAATCCGTATTGATGATCGTTGATCCGAGAGTGGTCTTCTAGGTAGATGATGGTTATTAAGGACTCTTTTTAAGACTTTGCACAATACTGAGATGACAGCTATTGGCTGATAGTTGGTCGGGTAAGACCACGTGACTTAGTTATTTGGCATTTTTGGGAGTTTATTTTCGTCATCTTTCTTAGCAGTTATAAACCAAAAGCGCAGAATTTTTCACTATACTATGTATATATTTTTTTTGAAAAAAGTAACTTACATTTGCTGGCTTTTTCTTCATCTAGTAAAATTCAAACAGTCGAAGCCAATTACCGTGGGATACCTAATTTTAGCGAAATAAACTCACAGGATATTTAGTGTCTACATGAAAAATGAGTTTAAATCCGAAACTTTGTTTCAAAACGTAAGTAATACGTTTACAAACTTAAGTGTTTTGAATGGGTTTATTAGGTTTTAAATCAAGAATTGTGGAAATAATTTGCAGTTATTCTGTTTATTCATTAGCTATTTCAGGAAGTATGCGTCGTAGAGCATAATGGGCTTTACCCAAGAAGCTTATAATAAGCTTCTTGCTTTTACCTGTAGATGCGGCTTAATGAGACGGGTCGATTGGTATTATAAAAGTTCAGTAGGGAAAAAGTGCAGATAATCGGTTTTGGCACTAAGGGGACGATTTCCTAACTAATAAACATCTCGCTTTGTTCGTTATTTTAAAAATGTACCTATTAATAATAAAAAAAATTGTCATTTCACAATCGGTCATTGGATGGGTGACCAAAAATTACTATCTCGAGCTCCTCCGTGCTTCGGAAGGCACGTTAAGCCGTTGGTCCCGGCTGCATCTGCAGTCGTTAGCACCCACCAATCCGCACTGGGCCCGCGTGGTGGGTCATGGCCCAATCTCCCTATTCCATCCATAGGGA